GTGGTGGGGGTGGGGGGGGGGGGGGGGGGGTTGTTGTGTTTTTTATTTACACATTTTTAATTTATTTTTTATTATTATTATTATTATTGAAATAGAAAAAGACATTGAGGACACAGAGTTCTCAATGTCTTTTTCTGCAGCCTCAACACACGCAGTACAGAGGCTTCCCATTCATTCACAAACTGCTGATAGTAAGATATTTACTATCAAGCAGATTCTCAATGGGGAGGAGCCTCTATACTGAGAGCTTCTCCCCATTGAGAAATTAATGAATGAACAGGAGGTGATATAAATCACCTCCTGTTCATTCATAACTGGGGACACATAGTACTATGTGTCCCCAGTTATTTAGAACACTGGAGTGATCACACGGAGGACTGGTAAATATCAATGATATTACCGATCCTCTGCTCGGCCACCTACACAGCCCCTGTCATCCTGAAACTGACACGAGGACAGCAGCTCCGCTCTAATCCCTGCCTACCGCTCGATCACGATGATCGAGCGGCAGGCGGGGAGGAGAGCAGAGCCGCTGCTTTCCTCTGCCATCCATTTTTTTTCGGATCCCCGCTGCCTCAGCCCATACAAGCGGGGAGAGCTGCGGGGATCCAGGCCTCCCCAGTGCCGCGGTACCCATAGCGACCGCATCGGTGTAATCCCCTTCTAGGTCTGTAATGGTGTACCTCAACCTGTAAAACAGCTGTGAAAGTTTGAGTTAAGCATTTTAGATTAGCTACTTCTGTCAGTGGCCTTTGAATTCTTCATATATTGCAATCTACTAAAGGGCATTTCTTTGTCCTGTACCACATACTGCGATGGATTTCCCACTGCAAAGTACATGGAGAACTTGTGCCATGTGTTACCGCTGTTCTAAAAGGAAGATCTCCCTGCTAGTTTCCCAAGCAAGATTTAAAGGGAATATATAGTGGCTTTGCATAGATGTTCTTTATTTTTTATAGACAGGGCTAGAAACATAATCGTTTTCCTATTTGCCTGGTAGACTTAAAAATACTGGATTGGCCCAATGACTTCAATGCCTCAACCTTCAGCTAGAAGATGTTTAACTATTAGTGCACATTTCTGTGGTTCCCAAATGTTCCTTAGTAAATTTCTATTTCCTACGCATGCAAAGGAATAATCCTATTGGTTGAAAAATCATCTATAAACCACATATAATCTAACCCAATTCAGAAGTAATAACAACGTCACATCAAATGTTTTTTTTATTTTATATTTCATGTTTTTGAATCCTAAGAGACTGTAATTGAATTCCTTGATTAAGGTGACATTATACACCCACATCATTTCATACAAGATGTAAGCATTTAGTACAGCTCAGTGTTTAAGATACGTTCTTTCAAAGGTTACTTCTCTGAAAGCACTTTTTCATTTTCCTCTGACCCCTGGGGGCAGTGTAATATAGAAAACTATCACAAATGATTGAAATGCAAATATGCAGAACAAACTTCACTGTGTACAGTTTTATGAATCACAGGAAAAAAAGGGAAAAGGGAAAAAAGTCAAATAAGCTTCTTGGATTTTCCTATGTTCACATGAACTCTGATTAAAGTAATCTAAATAGAACACATACGTTGTTACTTACATTTGCATCTGGACGCAGTTTTATGAGAAATCGCTTCCTCTTGAAACTCAGTTTACGCACTTTAGCCCAATTAAATGCATTGATTTTTGTATGACCCTGAAAAAAATAAAAAGGTTTATTAAATGTTTTCATGATAACCCGTGTTTTAGACAGCAGCTATGAAGCGGTGCATTGAGGAGCAGATCAATTAAATGTTATGCATACTGCTGCTCTTTAATGCTGTCTGTGAAGTATGACTCTACGTAAATAAGGAAAGCTTTGGGCAAAGTTGGCCGTATGCTTTACACAGACTGAAATAAAAATGCTTTTATTTAGTAGACAAGGGGAAGGCTAGAGCCCCCTGTCAGATTTGTATCTCTGTCTGTTGCCCTGGTGCAGATTTTCCTTCACTTCCTGTCTGGTGAAACCACTGCCAGCAATACAGGAAGTAAGGGGAAATCTATCAAACGGAGCCTCGCATACAAGTACAAATCTGACAGGAGTTCTACCTTCCCCAATCTATTAAAAACTAGAAAAATAAGATTTTTGTCCTTAAAGCAGACCTTTACACTAAAAAAATAAAATTCTACTAAAGCATCCCTCTATGTATGATGATTAATAATAACATAGACATATCAGGTGTAAAATGCTGCGATTTTGAAATACTTACACTTGCAGAGCATTCACATCCTGCTTTGAAAGTGCAAATGACTTTAGTTTGCCAAAGCAATGCACACTGGGATTTGCCTTGTCATCAGCAGAGCATTGCTGGGAAATCTCAGCTGTAATCTCATGGAAAGGCATTTTCCTCCCCTGAGATGATGTGCATGGTCACATGTCTTAGTCACATGTCCTAGTCACATGTGCCAGTAATCCAGGAAGTAATAGATCTAGCAACTTGCCCTTAGTAAACATGGCCACTGTCAGCAGACTGGGGAAGAAAAGAGAAATAAGGTATGCAGGGAATACAAAGCCTGCAATTATCTAGAAGTATGTGTTTGTAGATTGTCATTACTAGACATTTCTCAAGGTGTTTTTGTTGTTATTTTAAAGATATGGGTAAAGTTCCGCTTTAACATTATTATTTTTTTCTTGGAGTCTGTTGAGGGGCGCAGGAATATAGTAAATCAGATATGTGGTTTATGTTGCTGCCTTTAGGAGGTGGACACTGGCAAACAGAAACGAAAACTGTTATAGGCCACCCTATAACCCTGCACCCAACAGTCATGCCACTTTTGGAATGAAGCAGTACTTAAAGGCCAAGACACAAAGTGGCGGGACCTGTGTCCTTCAAGAGGATACAAGAAAAAGATTTAGAAGTACAAAAGCTTATTTTTATTATCGTTCATTGAGGGACACAGCATTTTTATTAAATTATTATTTTATACAACTTAGGGGTGGGCAACAGCCACCAAGAAATCTGACGGATATGGAATCTTACTAGAAGTGTACCCCAAAAAAATAACTGGTTGAAAGGCCAATGAAAAAAATAAAAGAAAAGCTAAATATTTATAAGGTTATGGCTGATAGCTGACACAGACTAATATAGAGAAGAAAGGGGTATCTTACTCTAGTAAATACAGTGAAGGGAATTTATCAAAACTGGAGCAGACAAATCTGGTGCAGCTGTGCATGGCAACCAATCAGCTTCTCTCTTTCATTTTCAAATCTTAACTGAACAAACTAAAGAGAGAAGCTGATTGGTTGCCATGCACAGCTGCTCCAGTTTTGATAAATTACCCCCAGTATGTCCCATGAGGGTTGCCAGCTAGGGGAAATCTGTAGCTTGGTAACATATTGTTATGCCTGTTGATCTTCTAGGAAGTACAGGATTAATAAAATAGATATTTCCTTGAGAGAAAGGGGAAAGACATTGTATTAGAGAACAGAACCCTCACAGTATACAAAGAGAAGTTTAGGTGCAGGGATCCAGAATACAGTTAGTAGTACTTAGCTGCCTTCTCCCCACACAGTTTCCCCAGTCTCAGCACTCTGCGTCCCCCACCACCAGATAAAAAGCTGTGCTTCTATTTAAAAAAATAAATAAAAACGCCCCAAAATCAGTATGTTGCATGCACGAGGTGCATGACGTGATCAGCGGGCCAGCAGAAGAGAAGGAAGAAGCCAGCTGCGAATGATGTCAAGTGGCTCATCTAGCACACACATTGTACCACATTACAATCATCTTCAAAAATAGACAGTGCTCTGTGGTGACGTAGCCTTCCCGGGGGCATCTACGTCACCCAGTGGCTAAGAAGGGGGAGCTAGTAAAGGTATGTAATAGAAAAAATATGTAATTTTTTTTTTCTACCATTATAGGATGATTTCACATTAGCATGCAGAGCTGCATACTGATGTGATTTTTTTGTGGAAGGGGGTAAAGATCCATGTTAAACCCTGAATGGTATAGTTTTTATACTAGGTTCAGATAGAAACCTTTTCTAGATGAAGGAGAGGGCAGGGGAGAATTACTGAGACACAGTATTTATGGAAGAATCCTAATGGAATTCCCATCAATCTCACAATCCCTTACAGAGAGAATGGGACAGAGTTTGTTATATTCAATAGAGCATATGAATATTATCATAACAGGAAAATTCCATAAACTAGGACACTAAAACATTTCAGTCAGAATTTATAAAACAATCCACAACAAATCCACAAGCTACAGGCAAACATGTAATAATGCAATTTTCTGTCTCCGTAAGAGGAAAATGTTGAATTATAGGTTGTTAGGGAGTTGCAGAACTTTGCACTGTACAATTAAAAGGAATTTATAGTTTTGAATCAATAGTTTCTTTAATGTGTTTTGTATAAAAGAGCAAATCAGAATTTTTACATTTGTTTTTGTTATTCTATACATAAATTATTACATTTAAACATTTCAGATTTACTACTTGCAGTCAGCAGATAGAGCTCTAAGCACACATAGGTAGGCAGCTGAAGTTTCAGATATGAGAACAGCCATGCTAAAAAGAGACTCGGAGGATGACACACCCAGCATATTCTGCCTACAAAAACATGAAAATCTTAACATGTGAATTAAAAGAATAAGAGTACTTTAAAGGAGAACTATGGGGTTAGGGCTTTTCCCCATAGTTCTCCTTAGGGTAACGGGAGGACACAAACTAGCGTCTTCCCAAGCTCAGTATACCGCAAACTACAGCTCGCGGTAATCCCTTAAAATCCATCCCCTGGCACATTCACCTATCCACACCCCACATAGATCTTCCATGTGTGGCTAGCTTTGAGCATGTATGCACAAAAAAGTCTCACGAAGGCCCCATTCACACTGAGCGATTCCCAAATCGTGCGATATCGCGCAAATGCTTGCATTGAGCAAGCTAGAATCGCGGCAAAATCCGCTCCAAAAAGGGTCCTGCTGTAGCGACGAACGACCAGCGACAACGACGGACAGACCCCCATTGCCATGCATTGGAGAGCGATAAATTCAAATGGCATTAGATTGTGTGCCCTCCTTACCATCTTGCCTTGAATTGTATTGTTATTGTAATGTCTTCCTTATATTATAAAATATATAAATATATAAATCCTGTATAAGAATAATAATAATAATAATCTGTGTAGCTTCCAGTGAAGATCTTTGTGGAGCATGGATAGGCAAGTGTAACATTTGACTAGGGTGCCAGGGGGAGGGACAAATTTTACAAGATAACAATACTGAAAGTAATGATACCTGCCAGGAAGCATAAAGGCTTGTCATATAATGTAATGTATACTCAATATAGTATGTAGGTTTGTAAAATAAAACGATATTATACCAATTAGGAGAGACATAAAACACCACTTTCAAAAAATGTAGAATAAATCAAAATCATTTTAAGTTTTGCTTTTAATAAGTACAGCTTTATTTCATCAAAAATATTAGTCTTCAAGTTTCTATATAATAATTGTGCAAATGTTCTTAATAGCACCTTTCATAGGAGCAGAAAAAAAAAAAATCAAAACACACATTGGAAAATGATTCTACGTCGTTATAGCCAAGTTGGCAGAGAAATGTATATTACGTAAAGGAAATCAAATACTACACACCTGAAATACTAGGATGCCTGTGTTGGCCACAGCCAAGTTGATCTTAGTTCCCTCTCTGTCTTTAGCTGGATGTAATCTAATGCCATAGATCTCAAGCCGACGGGCAACCTCCAAGAGCTGAAAATCTGATTCGGCTGGTGTCTGACCACTGTAGGTTTTAAAACATATGGACATTAGCTCATAATTACACTCCTAGCAAATATAGTATTAAGTCCATTTTTAGCATCTTGAGATACCCCATCACAAATAAACATGATGTCCCACCGCTCACGTTACCTTGGCAACTGTATCATACCTGGCTTCATTTACCAAAACATCTAGCTGTTATATTACTTATAAGCTATCAGCAGGCCTCTGAATGTCCTTGCACCAATGTTTCCCAGAACACAGGATGAAGTGTTTTTTTGTTAGAAAGCAATGTTTAACCCAAGGCTTAAAAATGAGAGGGCTAATGTGAACTATACTTTACATAAATATTGTAAAAGCAAATTCAATTTGCTGACCTACTTGTATTACTTTGTGTTGTACAGTTTGACTTTTTAATATTATAATGGATATAATTACAAAATAAACTAAAGAAGAAACCTTCCATATATGCATAGGCTCAATTCATTGTAATGATCAATAGTATAAACAGGGGTGAAGCAGCTTATGGTTTATACAATAGGTAATACATCTGCAGAACCATCTGAAGTGGAATATATTTTATCACATTTATTGGGGCATTTTTGTCTTAACTCCTAAGTGACACAGCTTCAGAATATGTTTTTGTTCATGGGGAATGGAGCAATTTTGTTTAACCATAATTTCCATCTTCCTCATGCATTGCACCTACCCAAATAGTATACCGTTTTGGGCTACAAAATGGGCTTTCATTTTATGTGATATATGCATATAGAAATTCGTATTTTTTAAAAATAAAAATAACAAAAGTATGCAAAAACTAATTTTTCACAGTTTTGGCAATAATGTACATAGTTAGTGTAGCTAACAGAAAGTGATTCATAATAAATCCTTTTATTTGTCCTGATTTATAGGGTATGTCATATGTCTGAGGAGTGAAATACAATTTTAGTGTGGAACAATTTACATTAGTAGTTATTTATTTAGTTGATAATGAAATTCTTTGGTTACAATTTTTGTTTATATCCTGCTGTCGATCGCGGCTAGATATTTTGCGGTCGGCGGTAGAATGTAAACAATGGGGAGCAATAGCCAGCCTGCTATTGGCTATTTCGAATTGAAATAGCCAATAGCAGTCTGGCTACTGAACCCGCCCCCAGGAGCAGAGAGATGGACCTGAGAGAGAGCTTTCTCTCTCAGGTCCGCTGCTTTGCTCATTGGGCAGGGCTTCAATCGCCAGCCTGCTATTGGCTATTTCAAATTGCAATAGCCAAAGCAGGCTGGCTACTGTACCTGCCCCATGAGCAGAGAAAAGGAGCTGAGAGAGAGGTTTCTCTCTCAGGTTGTTCTTTGGGCGGGGCTTCAATCGCCAGCCTGCTATTGGCTATTTAGAATTGCAATAGCCAATAGCAGGCTGGCTACTGTACCCGCCCCATGAGCAGAGGAAAGGACCTGAGAGAAAGCTTTCTCTCTCAGGTCCGCTGCTTTGCTCATTGGGCGGGGCTTCAATCGCCAGCCTGCTATTGGCTATTTAGAATTGCAATAGCCAATAGCAGGCTGGCTACTGTACCCGCCCCATGAGCAGAGGAAAGGACCTGAGAGAAAGCTTTCTCTCTCAGGTCCGCTGCTTTGCTCATTGGGCAGGGTTTCAAAAGCCAGCCTGCTATTGGCTATTTCAAATTGCACCCGCCCACTGAGCAAAGGAGTTGACCTGAGAGAAAACAGATTGTTGCCTAAAGGGAATAATGTAGTGAGTCTATGGGTTACCGGATAGCACCCAAACCCTAATTTTAAGAGACTTTCATTAGACAGACTTGGGAAGGGTTGTAAACTATTTATATTGCTGTGTAATAGCTACAAGAAATTAAAAATGTTCATCAAATAAAAGACATAAAAATGATGATAATAAAAGAAAGTCAATTTTTAAGGCAGGTGGGAGAACTCACTAATGATTCCGATGATATTCCATGATCTTTTCTACAAGAGGATCTTGCTGAGGCATGTACGTGGTTTTTGAAAGGTGTTCTCTGTCAACAGCTTCATCAAAATCTCCTATTTCAGCTAAGCGAAAGACAACAGACCTTAAAAAAAAGTTGAATATACCAATTGCCTGCATGACATAATATGCATGGTGCCTCCGGCTGTTTCATGCCTCATCACCGGTTTCTATTTAAAGCACAATGGAGATGTAGTTTAACACTTTAATTAAAAGCAGAGTCTTTCTTTAGGCAGATTAGGACCGACCAACTTGCTATAGTGCAATATGTGGAATAAAGTGTCCAGGTTTTAACATACCAATTGAAAACGCATTTAAAGAAGAACTGCAGGACTGGGCTATCCCTGCGCTGCAAAGGTTAATTGCCAGTATTGCGTAGCGAGTGAAAATAAAGAAGAAATACTCACCCGAACATTGGTCATGCCTGCCTGCTAGACTGGTCTCAACAGCCTCTTCTCACCAGACTCAGGCAGTCTAAGGACCTGTGACATTATCAAATCTAATATAGGCCCTGTAGACATAAAGGGACATACAACAGCCGGAGAGGAGGAGGAGAGAGGTGAGCTGTCACTGCCGCTGGTCCAATGATCAGGTGAGTATATTTTCTTTATTTTCAGCCATACACCAAATGAACAGTTAGCCCTTGCAGTGCATTGCTAGCCCCACTGCAAGGGTTAATTTTTCTTTAGATCCTGGAGTTCTTCTTTAAAAGTGAAGCAAAGTTTTAAAAATGATATGTACTAAAAGTGCAAACATTAGTTTTACGGTTTTTTATTTTTCAGTGCTTTTTTTCCCCCAGTGTAAATTCATGAAGATTGACTGGCATAGGAATTGAACCGCAGCAATGTATGTCTAGTGCTTACCATGAAAGCAAAAGTTAATTCTAGAAGCCATTAAAGGAAAAACTACAGTATTATCACACAGTGTTATTATGCACATTCTGAGGAACAGCCTTGTTATCAACAACAGTTAACTTTGTAGGTCAAGGGGTATTCCACCTAACAACCCAAAACAACAAAATACATTTTAGCATTTTTCCGGAGGCCATTTTTTTACTTTAGCAGACCGTATATGTAACAGGTCACTATGAAACATGCTAAGCATGACAAAAAAAACAGCTCTCAAAATCATCATATTCATTAATATTGCTAATATCCAAAGTAAAGGGTACAAAGCAAAGCATCTGATACATAGGCAGACAAGCTCAAAGTGTCAGTTGGAAGCCACTAATTGCTCCTGACCCACTAGATAGGAAACTCTTCCATTAAGGTAACCTACATCGACTTGAGTCATATAAAGCTAATCTCCTATATTGCCAGTTCACTGGCTGTCATGCTGATCCTTTGGCTCCACTAACTTGCTACAAGTATGTGGCCAGAGACTTATAAGTTTGTTTCAGATCAGTAATTTAATAATAATTTAGAACTGTAGCATAACCATGACACCAAGTAAACTCGCATTTCCAGAAGGAGTTTACATATCACATAATTCATTTTCTTTAAGGAATTAGTACCCATATTGCTGGCTACATAAATATGTATGCTATAATTCCACCCTTTACAAAAAGATAATATAATGATGTGGCTCAAAGCTATTTTCCCTAGCAGAGGAAAAGTTTCATGGCAAATAAAACGGGAATGTCATGGTAATTTCATGGCTACTAAGATAAGTAAAGCAGTAGTACTGTTATTTATTTCACATGGATCACATTTTGTATACGAAGGAAGATTTCAAACAAAGAAACTAGAAAACACAGTAACCCTTACTAATAAGATCTTGTATCATTGACAGTACATTAGCCAGATAACGTAAAGTGACATTAAACTCAGGAGTTGAATCTTAAAAATGCATTCAAGTACCATAACTATTAAGCAAAATCATCCTCAAATGATCCAATAATGAATGCTGACTCTGTCCTTCCTTCTGGAGAGTGGCTCATTTTGTTCTCCATGGTCCCTATGTGTTGTAAAGTAGTCACCGCTCCAAGCTCACTTTTGTGGTTTACTCATTTGTACAGAGATTGTAGTTCAGCACAGGAGTGAGCTTGGGGTAGTGGCTACTTTACAACACACACAGGGACCTACTACTACTACTACTTGGAACAAGAGATACACCGATATATCAGCCGAAAATGGCACTTTTGGATAAATGCCGAAAGTGCAATTTTTCTGCCGATACGTCGGCGCATCCCTGCTTTCTTTCCTCCCCGCTGGGCGCTGCTCTGTATCCTAGCGGGGAGGAGAGAAAGTGTGAAGCCCTCATGCTTATGTATTCTACAAGTAACCAACAATAGCTAGCTACTAATTGGTATGTAATAATACAATAAAACACACACATATATATATCTCATCTATCTATCATTATTAGGGATGCACCAATATATCGCCTGCCAATGGCACTTTTGGCAAAACGCCGAAAGGGCCATTGTTCTGCCGATATAGCAGTGCATCTCTGCTTTCTCTCCTCCCCGCTGGGCGCTGTTCTGTGTCCCAGCGGGGAGGAGAGAAACTGTCACAGGCAGCCGAGCGCTGCGGGAGGAGAGCGCTGTGAGCGCCTCTCCTCCCCGCATTGCTCAGCCTCCTGTCACAGATCAGAGGAGAGCGGCGGTGTGGGGGCGAAGACATTCAGCGCTGTCACAGGAGGTCGGCCGGTGGTGTGGGGGAGGAGTCAGCTGTCAGATCGAGCTTTCCTCCTGTGACAGAGTGTCAGGAAAGCGAAGTACAAACACTCAGTGATCAGTGATCGCTGAGTGTTTGTACATAATTGAGGACAGAGTATGTTTACTATATCCTCAATTATGAATGAATGGGAAGTGATCTATATCACCTCCTGTTCATTCATGATTGTGGTTATAGTAAACACATTATGTTCTTGTGTTATGAATGAACAGGAACACTCAGTATAGAGGATTCCTGTTCATTTATAACTGGGGCTGCAAAAAAAAGAGATTGAGGACTCTATGTTCTCATTTTCTATTTTAAAAAGGAAATATCAGGGGTCTGTTTAGACCCCTACTATTTCCCAGAAGCACCTAAAAGTAATAAATGAAAAAGGAATGTCTGGGTATATTTCCCCATGTCTTAACCCTTTACAAATGAAGCAAGCACAGAAAAATAGCAGCTGACCTGCCAAAAATCCTGTGTCTTCCAAAATTCCTCTTTGAACTGAAAATACAGTGCTATAGCTTCACTGGAATCCCAAGCAGTGTTAGTCAGCCTATCCAGTTCTCTTCTGAGAGACTACAGCCCACTTCCCTTCTCCTTATCTCCATAACATAGTGGGAAGGTGTTCTCTTGTAGTGCAGAAGTAAACTCAGACAGGGTTGACATTATTTAAAGCAATATAACATGGAGATAACACGTATTGCCCTTAAGTAACTAACCTTCAAGCAACTGACAGAGAGAAGGTGGTGTGTGATCCCCGGAATTAGCTACCTTAGCAGCTGGAAAGATAATTACTGAATTCGGACTGTAAGCTATTACCACAAATTTATCTATAAATACAATAAATACATTTACTGAATTTTAAGGCCAGTGTCAGACATAAAAATCGATGTAAAAACTTACATTGTACAATATGTGAAATTAAGAGTGCAGCGCTGCTTTCATTACATGTGAGCCTGCCTTGTGCCATATCCTGCTTCACTTGCAGTGCAAAGAGGTACCTACAGACAAAGCAAAGCAGACAATATTACCAGGTAGCTTATTCAAATCCATCAGCCAGTCTGTATCTTGTTCTACACAATGAAGAGTCATATAAAACACGTTCAACAAAAGCCACAGAGCTGCTACAGTAACCAGTATTCAGCTTTCAGATGAAACAAGGAGTCTTGTATAGGAATATGCTTTAATCCTATATCCAGACAACAGGTGGAACTTTAACCTCCATTTCATATATATTTCAGTTTGTTCTGTCATAAAAGGCCTGTAGTTTATAGAGCTCAAAAGCTTAACAGGGACAGTAGGCACTCAAAAGACTTCCCACAGAGGATGATAAAGAAAAGATAGCTGCTTTATGATACCAATGTTTCTCAGAGTCCCTGCCTGGCTTTAAGTAGATTATGATCTTAGGTTGTTATATGTATTTGTAGCCAGACAAATTACTGCTACTATATGGAATAGATGCTGATACTTTACCGATACTACATTAAATCTGATCATGTTGTAACCTCTGGAATTGTCTTCTATACAATGTCAGATTGTCTGCTGTGTGTACCAGCTTACACTTTAGTGGAAGTGCTCTCCACCATTGCTTACTTTGTGTATATATACAGTACATTAGCCAGATAACGTAAAGTGACATTAAACTCAGGAGTTGAATCTTAAAAATGCATTCAAGTACCTTAACTATTAAGCAAAATCATCCTCAAATGATCCAATAATGAATGCTGACACTGTCCTTCCTTCTGGAGAGTGGCTACTTTTGTTCTCCATGGTCCCTGTGTGTTGTAAAGTAGTCACCGCTCCAAGCTCACTTTTGTGGTTTACTCATTTGTACAGAGATTGTAGTTCAGCACAGGAGTGAGCTTGGGGTAGTGGCTACTTTACAACACACACAGGGACCTACTACTACTACTTGGAACAAGAGATACACCGATATATCAGCCGAAAATGGCACTTTTGGATAAATGCCGAAAGTGCAATTTTTCTGCCGATACGTCGGCGCATCCCTGCTTTCTTTCCTCCCCGCTGGGCGCTGCTCTGTATCCTAGCGGGGAGGAGAGAAAGTGTGACAGCCAAGCGCTGCGGAAGGAGAGTGCTGTGAGCGGCCAGCGTCTCTCCTCCCACACCGCTCAGCCTCCTGTCACAGTCTGGCAGAGCGGTGTGTGGGCGGAGACATCGCTGTCACAGGAGGCTGAGCTCTCCTCCCGCACCGCTCGATCAGCCTCCTGTGACAGTGTGTCAGGATGGAGAGCAAGTGCAAACCACTCAGCGATCAGTGATCGCTGAGTGTTTGTACATAATTGAGGACATGGTATGGTTACTATATCCTCAATTATGAATGGAAGGGAGTGTTCATCACCTCCTGTTCATTCATGATTGTGGTTACAGTAAACACACAATGTCCTCAAGTTATGAATGAGCAGGAACACTCAGTATAGAGGATTCCTGTTCATTGATAACATGGGCTGCAGAAAAAGAAAGATTGTGTCAAATTTCGGTTTTTAAATTTTCTTTTTGGTGTACCCTCTACTTGGAACTACTTGGAAGGAGAAAAACAAATGCATGGACAATGTAACAGTCTATATAACATAAAGTTCTAGTTATAAAACCAAGTATCAGGATCATCGCTGAATCTCCTCAGTTGTATGCTATCAATATTCCAGTGTTTTCACTTGTGCTAGTTAACTAGAATCCAGATCTTCAGAGACCCTGACAGCCTTTTAGTGATGTGTTACAAACTTCATTCTCTGAACATAACATTGTCAATCTGTTGCTGGCCCCAAGATTTATTTGTTGGTTGTATCCCAAACAGTCGTGCTGTGTCTGCCATTTGGTTTAGATTTAAAAAAATGCAACCATCATGTACCAACATGACAAATGTTTCTGCTATGTCTGACAGTAAACCGTTATGATATAAACCTGCATCATTTTCATCATTGTTTAACTATTTAAAATAGAAAAATACATTAATTGAAAGCAGTCTAATGCAGGATTGGACAAATCCAAGGAGCCAGGTAGTCAATGATCCTTAAAAACTTCAGCCAGCTAACTTTTAAGGTACTCTAGTTGTTGTCAATGAAGCTAGCTCCTAAAAAAATCCAGCTGGCTCCGGAATTGCACAGACTGGCTCCTGAATTCAATATTAATTTTGCCCACCCCTGGTCTAATGTTGCTGCAATTTGTCCATGAAAAAAATGGATAACTGCATGCAAAATGCATAAATTACTGGGCCGGCAATCATGGTGGGAACAAAAATCATAGAAAGTAATGGAAAGGGCCGAGTCATATACATTTTAATAAGCAAATGAATGCAGAAACCATTTGCCGTGGCTGAAAATCACGCCAACAGGTTGTATAGCTTCCATTCATCAGACAACTGATGTACACTATTAGCACAAAGCTTGATTTGAAAAGCAGAATTGGTGCAGATCATGTGCTTCATAGAAACAACTTGCTATCTCAGTAGAAAGCCTTGCAAATAAATGTAAAAATAATTGTCTTTTTGTATGAATTAATGCAAGTGAAAATGGCTGTTTGTGCCCCAGGGAGAAATTTCTCGAATCAATAATCTAGTGATTCGCTCTGCAAGTCAGACATGGCTATTATTTATCATTGCATTAAATGTCTGTTAGCTGGTAGTTTACAGTGTTGTGTGTTAGTGTTTTCCAGACAAGGGCTCATTGAATTACATGAAGTCCCACTTATGTCTCAACAAATACATAACTAGATGACAGTAATGTACCAAATGTGACATTATTAATATGACTTAGGTTCTCCCTAAGGTTAGGTCTTGCGCCACATTGAGTTACATTACATTTTTAAAGGGTTAGGATACCACATACAGTGAGGAAAATAATTATTTTATACCCTGCAGATTTTGTAAGTTTGCCCACTTACAAAGAAATGAAAGGTCTATAATTTTTTTTATCATAGGTGTATATTAAATGATAGAGACAGAATATCAACCAAAAATCCAGAAAAAACACGATACAAATGTTATAAATTGAGTTGCAGTTCAGAGAGTAAAATAAGTATTTGATCCCCTACCAACCAACAATAATTCTGGCTCCCACAGACTGGCTATGTGGTACACAGATTAGTCCTGTCAATTTAAGAAGGTGCTCCTAACGACAATTTGCTATGTATACAAGACACCTGTCCACAGAATCTCTTTCTTCTATGAGGACCTCACCAACATGTGCAAGATCAAAGAGCTGTCAAAAGGACGTTAGGGACAAGACTCTAGACCTGCACAAGGCTGGAATGGGCTACAAGACTATCAGCAAGAAGCTTAGTGAGAAGGAAACAACTGTTGGGGCAATTATTCGCAAATGGAAGCAATACAAAATAACCATCAATCGCCCTCGGTCTGGAGCTCCATGCAAGATTTTACCTCATGGGGTAAGGATGATCATGAGAAAAGTGAGTGATCAGCCCAGAACTACACAGGAGGAGCTTGTGAATGATCTCAAGGCAGTTGGGACCACAGTCAAAACAAACAAACCATTTGTAAGACAATACACCGCCATGGATTGAGATCCTGCAGCGCCCGCAAAGTCCCTCTCCTCAAGAAGGCACATGTACAGGCCCATCTGAAGTTTGCCAATGAACATCTAAATGATTCAGAGGATTGGGAGAAAGTTCTGCGGTCAGATGAGACCAAAATTGAGCTCTCTGGCATTAACTCGACACACCATGTTTGGAGGAAGAAAAATGCTGAGTATGACCCTAAGAACACCATCCCTACAGCCAAGCGCGGAGGTGGAAACATTATGCTTTGGGGCTCTTTCTCTGCTAAAAGGTAAAGGCCAACTTTGCCACATTGAGGGGCCAATGGACAGGGCCACGTATTGTAAAATCTTGGATGAGAACCTCCTTCCCTCAGCCAGAACACTTAAGATGGGTCATAGATGAGTCTTTCAGCATGACAATGACCCAAAACATACCGCCAAGGCAACAAAGCAGTGGCTCAAGAAGAAGCATATTAAGGTCATGGAGTGGCCTAGCCAGTCTCCAGACCTTAATCCTATAGAAAATGTATGGTGGGAGCTGAAACTTCGAGTAGTCAAGCGACAGCCAAGGAACCTTAAGGATTTAGAGAAGATCTGTAAAGAAGAGTGGACCAAAATCCCTCCTGAGATGTGTGCAAACCTGGTAACCAACTACAAGAAATGCCTTACCACTGTGCTTGCCAGCAAGGGTTTCTTCACCAAGTACTAAGTCATGTTTTGCTTGGGGATCAAATTCTTATTTTATTCACTGAACTGCAACTCAATGTATAACATTTGTATCATGTGTTTTTTTCTGGATTTTTGGTTGATATTCTGTCTCTATCATTTAAACTACAGCTATGATAAAAATTATAGACCGTTCATTTCTTTGTCAGTGGGCAAACTTACAAAATCTGCAGGGGATTAAATGATTATTTTCCTCACTGTACGTGATATAGTACCCATCTGGATTTTTGGCTTTCCAGACACTTTTGTCCCCTGTTGCATTTGCCATATCTTACATAAATTAAATATCTTACATAAATTAAATATCTTACATACATTAAAAGTTGAACTTCTGCTAGGATTTCCTGTGAGTTTATAGTGTAGAGCCCAGAACTGAGTGTTTGGCCCTGACCAGCTGTCACAGCACATGACTATTCACAGCCGTCTCCAGATGCTCAAAGGACAGGTGAGATTTAATCTTTATCCTTGTGTGTAATAAAGAGTAATTGCAACTTTCCATTTCACTGCTGGAGGATTCAGCCACCAGGAGTGAATGTACAAGGAAAGCATACTGCTTTGTACCAACTTTATCTATCCCTCCTCCACATTCTGTAGCCCACTTCTCCAAGTTAGTACTACATTTTCTACCCCACTCAAGTTGTCCACACCATGTTACTATTTTCTATGGCAGCTCCTACTCCCCACTATAGTGTCAATACTACACCCCCCTCCTAATACACACTATACCTTCTGTAATTCTCTTCTGCACATACTAGCCAAAGCGAAACCTTTCTGTCATATCCTGTGCACTCCTCTTCTGCACATATTGCCCACTGTCATATGCTCTGCAATGTTCTCCTGCACATACTGCCCCGTCATAACCTCTGCACTCTGCTCTTGCACATACTGCCCACCGTCATATCCTCTGCACTCCTCTCCTGCACATACTGCCCACTGTCATATCCTTTGCAATCCTCTCCTGCACATACTGCCCACTGGCATATCCTTTGCAATCCTCTCTTGCACATACTGCCCACTGTCATATCCTCTCCTGCACATATTGCCCACTGTCATATCCTCTCCTTCACATACTGCCCACGGTCATATCCTCTCCTGCACGTACTGCCCACTGTCATATCCTCTCTATCCTTTGCAATCCTCTCCTGCACATACTGCCCACTGGCATATCCTTTGCAATCCTCTCTTGCACATACTGCCCACTGTCATATCCTCTCCTGCACATATTGCCCACTGTCATATCCTCTTCTGCACATTCCTCTCCTGCACATACTGCCCACTGTCATATCCTCTCCTGCACATACTGCCCACTGTCATATCCTCTCCTGCACATACTGCCCACTGTCATATCCTCTCCTGCACATACTGCCCACTGTCATATCCTCTCCTGCACATACTGCCCACTGTCATATCCTCTCCTGCACATACTGCCCACTGTCATATCATCTGCATTCCTCTCCTGCACATACTGCCCACTGTCATATCCTCTCCTGCACATACTGCCCACTGTCATATCCTCTCCTGCACATACTGCCCACTGTCATATCATCTGCATTCCTCTCCTACACATACTGCCCACTGTCATATCCTCTGCACTGCTCTCCTGCACATATTGCCCACAGTCATAACCTCCGCACTCCTCTCCCACACATACTGCCCGCTGTCATATCCTCTGCACTGCTCTCCTGCAGGAGAGGAGTGCAGTATGTGCAGGAGAGAAGTGGTATAGGGTGCCCCCCACTCCTACGGTGCACACACTGCCAACTGTGATACCCTATACCACTTCCCTCTTTCACATATTGTCTGCTGTGATACCCTCTAGCACTGCCCATTTCCATACCATTCAGAACATCTCTCCTGCACATACTGCCCACTGCCATAAACTCAAGCAATCCTCTCCTGCACATACGGCCTGCTAACACACTCTTCCACACTCCTCTCCTGCACATACGGCCTGCTAACACACTCTTCCGCACTCCTCTCCTGCACATACTCCCTGCTGACACACCCTTTAACACACTTCCCCTGCCAAACTGCCAGCTGACATACTGTTTAGCACTGCTCTCTTGCACATACTTTATACTAAGTTACAAACCCCCTCCACTGACAAAATCCACTGACAAACCCCCTAGTACTCCTCTACTAAAACATATTGCCCACTAACATACCTTCTGGCTCTCCTTTGCAGCACAAAAGTTACATTTCCTTCCTTACTACAGAACTGTACACCTTGTTTCTACTTCTCAGACACTTCTGTATATAATACTGTATATAAAAAAATGTATGCAATATTCCCCCAAACTTCAGAAACTAGCAAATTTTTTTCTAGTTAAAACATAAAATTGTTTCAAAACTCAGCAGGGAGCATGGGACCACTTTTAATGGCAGCAGCCGGTACGCAGTGATGAGAAAGCACCTGCAAAAATCTTAGTGCCAGAGTCTCAGGAAGATAAAAGAAAATATTATGGGAGGAATTTATCAAAACTAGAGCAGACAATCTGGAGCAGTTGCCCATAGTAACCAATCAGCTTTTCTTTTCAGTTTGTTCAGCTAAGCTTTGAAAACGAAAGATAGAAGCTGATTGGCTGGCATGCACAGCTTCTCCAGATTTTGTCTGCTCCGGTTTTGATAAATTCCCCTCCCTGTGGTTAAAAACTTCTGCATCCAATTAAAAAGTGCAGCTTGGCTTGGGTGAAACAGTTCTTTAACCATCATGAAATTAAAATGGTGAGTTAAGATTCATCTTTGTTTTTTGTATTAATGACAGATCATGAATCCAGACCTCTGCAATATATGCAACAGTTGTTGGCTAGGGCCAACATAAGCCAGCTTTAACATTCAGCAACAGCTCAGAAGAACACTACGCTACATCAATATAATAGAAATTGGAGGATTTTTATTTTTTTTAAATGCTGTCAGTTACGCAGTGCAAGCACAGCTGTCCACTCTTAGGAGAGGTGAAGACCTGTACTGCATTGGAGGACATATTTTATTGTATAACAATTAACGTCTATTTTTCCATATTTAGCCAGTCTTCTATGTTTTTAACAAGGTTTACATGCTGCAATAAAACATTTTAAAACAAATACAAATAACAACCTCTTTTAAGTAGTGAGATCTGTGCTGTTCATTTCATATTGCCAGCATGACTGAAAAAACTTCAGAGAGCTTTGTAAGAGTTGCCAGCTGGACATGTTCTCATAATTCATAACCTGCCAAACCAACATTCTTGTAAGCCAAGCAGTAGGGCTTAAAACACTGGCTTTTCAGAAGTACAGTTTCTCAAGTGCATTCCCTATCTGCTGTTTCAGAGGCGAGGATTTTACTATTCTATTCGTTTTTCAGGCTTACAGTTTAATAGTTCTTTAGACTGCCTGGCAAGAGGGTCAACTTACTGGGCAGGTCTCTAGCGTCATAGGAAGTGCATACTTCTTTCCAGTGTGTAGATTTCCATTAAACAGACAGCTCACAGAAAAGACACTGCATAATGCTAAGGTGGAGACTGCAAGAAAAATATGTTCTCTATACCAGCATTTCAAAACTTTATTTTAGTCAGGGCACCCTTTAAAAGTATGCAAAATCTTGAGGCACCCCAGTCTAAAACGTCATAGATTTTAAGGGAGACTCCATGGAAAAAAAACAAAAAGTGGGTTTTGCCCTTCACATCGAAATGCTCCCTGCTATTCAAGAACCCCCACCTTCACATCAGAAGCTCCTCTTTCATATCAGAGGCCCCTTTTCACATCATAGTTTCCCATTTAAATTAGGAAGCCCCTTCACATCATAGTCACACAAAATTTTGAGGCACCCCTGAGGAAGCCAGCAGGCACCCTGGTTGAGAAAGGCTGCTCTATACTATTACATTTACATACAAAGATTATTCCAAGTCCGCCTGCACAATATTCACGCCCAGGTTTTTAATGCAAAATCACAATGCAGAAAAAGTATTCGATTGCATTTTGTCCAAAATGTTTACACCCTCCTGACTCAGTTCTATGAAAACATTTAAATCCAGTTCACCAAGTGGCATTTCATGCAGTGGCTTATCTAGAGAAGGAGGCGCAGGATGTAAAGGTACGGCCAGCTGAAAAGGGCTGTAAAAGTAAAAGCAAAGCCAGGCGGACTGATTTTCCACCCAATGGTGCCAGCACGGGACTTTCCAGTTAGGTGATTGCACATGGCTGAGGGCATCATGCACGTACCGGTGGCATGGACACACAGGGGAGAAAGAAGTCAGCTGCTATATGGAGATGCTGAGAGCTAAGGTGTGGAGGGAATGTAGTTCTCTCACCACTCACCTACTGTCGTGATTGGTAGTCTTCTACTTGCATATTGTCACCACTACCTTCTTGATTTCCCATTTGTTGCCAGCATATTCAATGATTGATTTCTACATACAGCAACAACTGTCTTCTTGTTTCCAGCAAATTCTAACAATTGCCTGATTTTTAGCTCCCTTTTGTTGCCTGTAACTTATAAAGGGTGCCTTTGATTGCCACTGTATTGTAAAAGTTGCCCATGTATTGTAATGCCACCACTGCTTCATATATGATCATATCATAAAATCCACCAAGGCCTGTCACTATCAACCCAAGCTGTTTTATTCACACATTTCACCAAGGCGCACTTAATGTGATGCTGTTAAACCATTAAAAAAACTATTTTGTTTTAAGGCTACAATTATATACACCACTTTCAAATAAACATTTGTTCTGTCACAGTTTTTTTCCCCGGCCATTGTTACTATTTGATCCATTTCATAATCATCACTGAAAATAAATTTGACATGTTAGGCTCAATTCATAAAGCTTTTACAGGAGCATAAGGCTCTCTTATTTAGATATGTGATGTCATTTTCACATTTCACTGGATTTAGAGAAAATAACTGTCACGATTTTAAAAATAAATATCCTTATAATTCTGTGTTAGTGAATGGAGCCTGTAGAGGAGGAAAGTGTCAAAAAAATCAGCCTAGTTGTATGCTGTCATAAACTACACTGCTCTCCTGCACATATTGTCTGATGTCATATCCTCTGCACTACTCTCATGTACATGCTGCCCACCCACTTGTCCTTCACACTGTCAAGATTGTGCATGTCATTTACTGCACAAAAATTGTTAGTCCAGTATCTAATACACCAGAAAACACAAGCAGAAAGTAAAGTTTCCACTTGCACCATATCATTTCTTTTTTCTTAGATAATAAGACATGCCATTGTTGAAAATAAAATAAAGTAGTTATGATTATAAATGACTATGTATAGTATATTGTTTAGTTAAATACATGCAAAATTCCTGCTTCCACACAGCAGACAGCAGAATGTGCAGACCTGGTTAATTCTTCTTGCAGCTGGGTGTGATCAGGGGGGAAGAACTTAACAACAAACTTCAAAACTACAGACTTGGGTCCTGCAAGAAAAAAAAAAAAGAAAGGACGATATTGTAGAATGATACAAATGATGTTGGTAAACTATAGTAATGATAGGATTCGACACAAAAAGATATACCCACTTCTGATTTGCTTTATGATGGGCTTGATGAGGTCCAGCCATACCTAAAAGAACACACAGTTATAAACATATATATCGTTGGTTGTAACATTTAGTTGGCAAGAAAGTGAAAACTGTTAACATAAATGGAAAAGAAATGCAAGCAGAAGTGATGAAGGGTATTCCTCACAGCCACTAGCTGGAACAGCAAAGGCAGCCAAAGTCCCCATACCAGGAAGGACAGAGCTGCAAAGAATTGTGATTGTATTGGTCACTGAGGTATACTTGTGGTGCTTTCTAGGGTCTCCCAGGTATTATGTTTTTATACCAAAATCAAAGTTATGGTAAAGTAGGTGTTTAACTATATTATGGTGTAACCTTATTACTATTATTTGCAGAAATGAAAAGGCTGTCATTCAATGGTGTTAAAATAACGTCCCTGCAAACATGGCTCTTCCAGTAAGTCTATAGCTGAAGTCAGAAAGGTTGAGACGTTCATGTTTATCTCCTTAAAGCTACATACCATAATTTTCCTGTGATCTTGAAATTCCAGTCCAAAGTAATCGCCTTCAACTAGGTTAAGGTGGCTGCAGACAGCATCCAGGAGTGCTTTACCAGGGGCTCTTATCTGAAAGAAAAAGGACATTTCAAACTGTAAGACACTGCAGGTGAAACCAATGATCGCAAAGTCAGAGAAAATATTAAACCCACATATTCATCAGCAATTCACAAAAGTGTTTGTTTTGTGCCTATTGGACAGGAAGTAAAGAAAAACCTCCCCAAGAGGACACAGACCAAAATAAATACATAAATGTGGCTTTAGTTCTACTTTGAGGGACCAAATGGAAGCACATATTTATTTAAGATAAGTTCCCTTGCATATACTTTGCAGATGTATATGTACATCTGCAGCAAGACACAAAAGTGGCATCAGTAAATAGTGCATCCAGATAACTAGCAGTCTGAACTGCACCTTGACCTGTTTCCTCCTTCCAATTACCAGTAGGCATGACGTGTTATGTGTCACAAACAAAACTCTATTACCTTTAAAGATAATGTTAAAAGAGAAAATAAACTAGTGCTGATTTTAAAGCTCTATAAAATTAGAAACCAGTTTTATTTGACAAGTGCATTTTAAAAGTGTGACAATGTAGGAAACGTTGGGCGGCAAGTTTACAGGCAACACTCAGAGGCTATAAATCAAACAACCTGCACAATTAATGTCACTCAATATCCATCTTTATTTCTCTAGAAGAGTACATCTTGGGATGCTGGTTGTATCAAGTTGCCAATTTTAGGCCTAGAGCACAACCTCCCACCCCAGAATGTTAATCTTCTGTATACTAATACTATAAGGTAGGTGATAGTACAGCCTGTTCTTGTACAATGCCATGTCTTCATCATATACAGCACGGTAACACATGTGTGGAAAGGGTAAACACCACTAGAAAGAATCCTCCCTTGTATTGTTTTTATTAACAACCACATGGCAGTGTTGTTGATGTTGGTATGAGGCTTTCTGTCCATCTGTTTCCCCTGCAAGCAGCAGCTTTTTCTCTGCATCACTTTAAGTAAATCACATCTGCTGTGACATTTTACTGGACAGAGACTGGAACGCTGCCACGCTTGTTGTCTACTGTGAATTCCCACATCAATTTTAGGCTCTCCTTCAAGTACAGCACTGATTTCCGGATGAGATAAGTTCGAGGGAACAACACTTGTTGTGTCATCTAATGTGTCATTCAACCTTGTGACTAGGTTATGTTTTCACTTCACAGCTGCCGGAGGAGAGACACAAGTGAGCTCTGCTTGTAAAAGCAGTGCAGTCCTTTCATTTCCAAAAAAACAAAATCAGAAAGGAGAAATAAGAGAATAAACACAAAATCTGCAAGTTACAAATCACACCGGGGTATGACACATGGAGCAGTTCCACTTTTCTTTGTCGCTTTTGATACCACCCACAATGTTCTATTGCAACACGTAGTTCTTCATAAAAAGTACTTTATTAAGTAACACTTAGAAGCAACACAGATTGTGTTATTAGAGGATGGCAAAAGCCAGTCTGTCACCATGAACCAGCAAATTCTGTTATATCACAAAAAATAAAAGTTTTCTTTGTAAAACTGAATACATAGTTAAAAAAGAAAAAGCTGTTCCTTCACCCTATCACAATGAATTCATAAAAGGCATGTGGCCTGATATAAAAACAAAAACGAACGTGAGGGCGCAAGGCTAGGGGGACTAAGAAACTGATGGTAGCACAGTGGAGAAAGTAAGAGGAAATGGTTCACTTACTTTAAATGGGTCTCGGGACTAGATGGATGTGTCAGTGTGTCCGTGTCACCGCTGGAGCAATGTGAAGTGCCGGTGGTGTGAGGACTGACGTCAGGCTGGGCTGCAGCTGCGGGTGGAGGAGATCAGGCTGTGAGATGTGCGTGTCTGGGCCAATGTCCGGGCCGTGGTGAAGATGCAGGATGGAGAATCGGCCGGGGTGGTGGTAAAGTGAGGAAGGATCAGGTTGGTGAAGCAGTGGGTGGAGGCTCGGGAGCAACGCGTCTCGAGGATGTTACCTCTTTATCAAGCTCATTAGGAATGGGCCTAATGAGCTTGATAAAGAGAGCTTGATAAAGAGGTAACATCCTCGAAACGCGTTGCTCCCGAGCCTCCACCCACTGCTTCACCAACCTGATCCTTCCTCACTTTACCACCACCCCGGCCGATTCTCCATCCTGCATCTTCACCACGGCCCGGACATTGGCCCAGACACGCACATCTCACAGCCTGATCTCCTCCACCCGCAGCTGCAGCCCAGCCTGACGTCAGTCCTCACACCACCGGCACTTCACATTGCTCCAGCGGTGACACGGACACACTGACACATCCATCTGGTCCCGAGACCCATTTAAAGTAAGTGAACCATTTCCTCTTACTTTCTCCACTGTGCTACCATCAGTTTCTTAGTCCCCCTAGCCTTGCGCCCTCACGTTCGTTTTTGTTTCACTAGTGCAGGCACTCCTCCTGTCTCTTAGGGCTGCAGGCGAGGCAGAGCTACAGCACCCTATTCCCTTGGCCCAATCCGAGAGCGCTGTTTGTAATATTTGTATGTGGCCTGATATGGTGGGGAGTGGGGGGTGGGGGTGTGCACGCTTTTTTTTCATTCTATTTTTTTTTACATCCCAGTGCTTTGGTCCTCTTTGGTGGCTCACTCTCCCCACTCCAGTTGTTTGTTCGGCTTTGCAGAGCCGGAGCCTATTCATTCGTCTGGGCTCCCTTCGGTTGTTTACTTTGGTTGCCTTCGGCTGCTATACGTGCTGTTTTCATTAGCAAAACAAGCCGAAGAATTTGCTGAAAAAGTTTGGCTAAATCCTTTGGCTCTTTAGTGAATAACCCCCATAATATCACTTTAACCATTGCAGTGGGGCTACCCCCCGCACTGCAAGGGTTGACTGCTTGTTTTTGTCTAGGTCTAAGGCTGGGTTCACACCTAAGCGACAGCGTTTTTGCATGTTTTACACGCATTTTTTGATGCACGTTTTTGTGTTTTTATGCTCATAAATCAAGTAGCGCATTTTTGCTCATTGATGGTAACGAGCACAATTCGCAAAAAAACACAGCAAACGCGCGTTTTCAAGAGTTTCCTATTGAGTCTATGTGGCCAAAATGAGCTGTAATATGCCAAAAAAAAAGTTCATGTACTTTTTCCAGCGACAGGCGACTTGCTTATTTTGACAAAACGCTCAGATGTGAACAGAGCCATAGAAATACATTGGATTTTTTGGGGGTCATAATTTTGAGGGTTTTTGATGGCAGAAAAATCGCTACAAAACACTCAGTGTGAACCAGGCCTAAGGTCTCGCTAGGTGGTTCAGGTCAATATAACTTTTTTTGTTAGCACGTAGACAAAAATGACCACTTAACCCTTGCAGTGAGTGCAGCTGTGCTTAAGTATATATTTCTGCACATGACGCACTGCCATTTATAGGGGTCTCATTCTCTCATACTCTTTTAAGGAAGGATGCAGCAGTAGAAGAATTAAAACTCTGACTGTGGCTGTGTAGATAGCTTGAAACTATAACTAAGCCTTGCCTATGTGAAACATTAAGATTGCAGGGTCCACCAAAAATTTAAATGTCACTTTTACATGGATTGACCCTTTAAAAAAGAGCCACTCTAGGGTGACCTAGCTTTATTTTGAACGCAAATTACAGTCAATTATAGGCAGATGCGCCCAGACTATAATCTAGCGTGCAGAAAAATGACATGTAATCCTTCACTGTTCATTTGTGGGGACACAACCCAGCCATTTCCTTCTAAAATAAGTATGAACTGGGAAAGAGTACTTTTCTATATTGCAGTGTAGAAATTATAGGCTACATCGTCATGAGCTTGGTGGAGGTCTAAATAACATATCAAGAAATAAGATGCTGGGAACAAAGGGTGGACATGATCCTTACTGCTTTGCATTTTCTTTTTATAAGAAGATGTGCCTGTACAGTTCCTGAAACATCATTCCACTTATTTTATAGCTTATTAATGGACGTGTCTAAATTGCAGACTACAAGGCATTCAAAACTTCACACTACACTTCTTGTTTCAGAGGCACAGCGGATTACACAAGAAATGTATATTAACCAGGCTGCATATTGCGTTTCACAGTTAAACGGATTGAAAAGCAAGGTATAATAGCACCATTCACCCAGTTTATATTACAGCCGTCAGGCAATTTGTAAGTAAGGGAGCAGAAACTCCTCCCTGGGGTTTAAAGTGTGAGCACAGCCACTGTATTTGAATGCTTTCAATACAGATGTATGCTGGCCCCACTGTATTATTTTAATACTTCCAACTTCATCTGCAAAATAGGTGGGAAAACTAGGAGTAAACTGGTCTGACTGGTTTCGTAATTTTGATGGTTCACTACACTTAACACAAACCTACGCCTTCTGCGGGAGACACACCAACCTTCCCACTTCAAAGTCGCCAGCAACAAGACGAGCGACTATTGACTGCAAACTGTAGACTACATGGTACATGGCAATGACATGTTTGACTTCATTTATTTACACACATGGATGAAACTGAAATTGTGCCTTTACTGTTTCTAATTTAACTGCACATTCCATGAATCTTAATGCTCTAGCTCAGATTTCTACAAGACTATGTAGTATATGAAGATGATAAAGTACATCCCCCACTGTCTGATGAACAAGGGAATATCTAAAAATGTAACAAGTATGCCTAAGGAATATGCATGGTACAGCTGGTTCATGCTCAAGAAGATCAGACAAGAAAACAGATGGACAGACAGAACAGCATGTCTAGATTTTTTTGCATTTACCGTGGCAATGAACCACTGCAGTGATCAGCATACATCATTAAAGAGACCATAAGGAATTTCACTACTGAAGAGAAAAAAAATGCATTTGAGTAGTCAAGTGAAATGAAAGCAAAAAATGGGATGAAACCGATGACAGTTTATGAGATTTGAGTTTGAGACTACTGCAATAAAGTAAGCACACCTAATGCAGGGGTTAATCTCTCGAGTGTTTCTAGAGTGTGCTAGATACATCCTGTAGGCCTGTCATTAATTGGTGGTTGGGTCTAGGAAGAGATGGCAGCAGACTTTTCTTG